TTTCTTTCTACTGGTTTTTGGATCTAGAAGATGAAATTTGAAACAACCCGGTAACTCGACCTGACCAACCCAAAAATTTTGGGTTGGGTTGGGTTGGGTTGCCTATCATGTTCGGTTTCGTCGGGTCTCTGATGTGATCGACTCGAAAATTTGGGTTGGTCCAAAAAATCCCCCTAACCTGACCCAACCCAACCCGTGAACATCCCTACCACCAAGTGTTTTGACGTATGACAAATACGTGTCCAATGCCCTATCATTCCGCATCGAAAGCATTTATGTTCAACATTTCTAGAATTATCATCTTTTGGAGCTTTTACTTTAAGATCATCATTTCGTGTGGTTTTTTTGAAATGTGGATGATTATAACGACCACCACGAAAATAATAATTATTTCTTTCTCTATCACGATCACGGCCTCGACTATGGCCTCAACCTCGACCATGATTATTAAAATTCACACCATTTGTTTCAAGGACTGGTGTTGCTCTCGTTGGTCGATATTCATGGTTTTTCATCAACAGTTCATTATTTTGCTCAGCAACAAGAACACATGATATGAACTCATAATATTTTTTAAAACCTTCCTCGATATTTTTGTTACAATAGCATATTTGAGACATAAAAGTTAGAAAATGTCTTCTCTAGTATATATCCGTCAGTAACTTTTTCTCTGCATAACTTCAATTTAGAACTGATTATAAATAATGCGAAATTATAATCACTTACTGATTTGAAATCTTGGAGCCTCAAATGCATCTATTTGTATCGAGCTTGAAGAAGGATAAGATCAGAGGACTTATGAATCTGGGTGGCACGCGGTGGATCTCGATCGAGTCAGCGGATCGGTGCGGCTGGTGGCGAGTGATGGTCGATGGGACACCAGACGGTGTACAAATGGACCGACAGATCTAGTTTGGGTGATGCAAAATGTTCCAACTAAGATGTGGGAACTCCTGTGCAAAAGGATGCTTCTACTTCAATCACAAAGTTAATATCGTGAATCACCAAGAAATAATTATATTTACTACTCCCTATCTTCTACGAATTTTAGATTTTAGATCTATAAATTTCAAATCCTACCTTAACAAATTTTTAATAATTTTAAAATCTTCTCTCAAAATTTGATTTCAAATATAGGGTATGAATTTAAAATTAGATTTAAGTTGTTTAAATTTGATTTTTCATTATTTGATTGTTTTATTAAATACGGTTGATTCCCATAAGGTCCATTATTTTTTCTGATTCATATGTACCTAATTTGTTACCGAAGTATATTCATCTAAAATATTTACTCAAGATTTAAAAAATGGCATTAGCCATCAATATATGTGAAGTAATTTTTTATAACGTATTATTTATTATTTATTTTTACGATGAATAAAGATTTGATATTCCAAATTTAGCGGAGTGAGTCCATCATGAATTTCATCATATTCATCCTTGATTCAGGCAATCGTTGCAATTTTTACTAGAAAGA